GGAGAATGAGACATGTGGCCTGTTTAATTTTGGAATCATTAGTCATCTGAACCATGTTTGACTAAGTCCAACCATGATCCAAACCCTCTGTATATATGTTAAGGCTTTCTATCTGAACCCATTTCAAATAGAATACAAGACAAGGCTCCAGTAAATGACTATCAAATGATCGGTGTGTCTAGCTCGTAGTTTTCCATGTATTAATGCATGAGATTGTTCTTGAATGCATTTTTAGAAAATGTCCTGAGCTGTTTGTTGAAGGAAAACTGACAAATTGCTCTGGTTATTCACCTTAAGGAAATGTACTGCTGTATAACTGTAACCACTCTCTTAGGATGTTAGTGGAGGTCTGATTTGCATATATAGCTGGGAAACAAAGGCACATTGCTCAAAAACTGAAGAATGTATTATTTCACTTATCAAATCAGGTAGAAATCAAATGAATGTGTGCTAACAACCAAGACAGCTGGCCGGCACAAACTGTGACAGAGCACAACTTATTTCTAGTGTTTCACTGGAAGACATGAACATGTATTGGTTTTAGTGCGGACACTCAGGAGGACTTGGGGCTGAATACGAAAGACAGTGGAACATGTATTTAATTTGTATCACGATGGAAAATTGCAGTGACCGAATTGTGCTGATACTCAGTGGATCCGACATCCCCTGGTGTGTCTGGCTCGGACTCAGGGACAATTCGCTAGCACCCCCCCCCCCTTGACAATGGACTAGCGGTACCGAGTTGGGCCGGTCGGCCGGTCGAGTTTCCCCGGCTGATTTTTAGTCCCAGTCCGCCCCTGCTCGGACTTCCTTAATGTTTTTGATCTTTATGGACAATACCCCAAACTCGCCTGATTTGATGATTTGATTGTTAATTATAAAACAAATAAAAAGGTTTTGTTTCTCTCTTGTGTTTGTATCAGTTGCTCTGCGGTTCGGATTGCATTGCTGATCAGTGGCGTAGCAAGGAATTATTGTGTGGGTGGGCCTGGAGAAATGTAGGTGGGCCAGGGGGAGACTCATTAAGCATGGGGTCTGAGCTCAAACTTCATTAATGATTTTATTTATTTTTTAATGCACTAATTAAACATAAGCATAAACTAGCAGTGAAAACAAAAACATAGGCACGGCGGCCTCAGAATGTGTGTAAAACTGACATCCACATGACTGGCTCGGCGGCCACAGAATACACGGGCTCGGCGGCCTCAGGTTGTTTATCCTTGACAGTCGCACACACGGAGTCGCTATAGCCTGCGAAGCGACGGCATCCTTGAATCGGTATCATACAGAGTGGCGATACTGCGACTAGAACGCACACGCACACACACACACACACACACACACACACACACACACACACACAAAATAGTCTGCAACCGCAGCTGCGCTGTTGTTGCAAATGCAACAGTCTTTTGTGTCTGCTGCGAGACCCCATCGCGCGTCTTCGTATAGAAGACGGAGAAGAGAAGAGTAGATAAACAAAATGGAACTGATGGATAAAAGACAACGACGAGGCATGGACATCAAACGCTTCATGAACAGGAACTGGCTGCTCATCGCTACGATGATAGCAGTGGTGTTGTCATCCACATGACTGGAACGGTGGCTTCAGGTTTATCCCGCATCCACATGACTGGATAAAAAAATCCAAATAACACCCAAATAAAAAGTAAAAAATATAAACAATTATATGATATTGACTCACCAAATAGCTAGGCTTCATTACAATTACAAATTAGTGAAATGTGAATTAGCCTACCTTTTTGATGATCACAGCAGGAGACGACGGGGCTTGGTATTGAACACTGAGATGATCTCGTCATGCTCGTCATGCAAATGACAGGAGCGATAAGCTATTCAGACGGCCAGTCACCATCGATGCCCAGTTGTCTGTCTTGATTCGATTGACTGTAGAAAATAGTCTCTCCACAGAGCAACTGGTCATCGGTAGAGTAACGAGTGCCCTCAGCAGACAATTCATATTTGGAAATTTGTCACTTGGGCAGGTGTCGATAACTTCCATGAGTGATGGAAAGAGCCTGCCATCTTCCTCCTTTCTCTTTAGCTGCTGTACAAAAACAGTGTGTTCTGCAGCCTCCACTGTTATTCCACAGTGGGCACTGGGTGACTGTATTGCTGCCATTTCGCCAAATGTCTCGGAACTGGGCATGCAGGCCGCTGCGGCTTTCATCAGCCCATATGAGTCTGCTTGGAAACGAGTGTCTAGCTCCATTATCTGCCTGTCCAAGATGTCATTATATAATCTTCTTAAATCAGAGTTGTCCCTCACAGCGGTCGCTTTGCCCATTGGATTCCACATGAGAGTCACCCAACCTGGCTGGCATCTTCCTCTTTCGGGAGGCAGTGACGTCCCAGTTCATAATGTCGTATTTCAACATCAAATCCTCCGTCAGTTTCATTACTTTGTCCAAGTCATTTTTGGAATTATCCCTGCATGCAGTGAAGCTCTCCTTAAGTCCCTCAATTAGATGTATGCAATCTGTTATAGATATAGTGGCGGATTGCAGGCCCTTCGTGGCGAAGTCACTCATTTCAAACAACATATTAAATGTTACGAGAAGAAATACAAATGTCTTGTTCTGGATTTGTTGTAAGAGAGAGTCAGCCTCGATTTTCGTCTGACCAGTGCTCTCAGAAAATTCGGCAAGCGTTTCTAATATTGCATCAAAAAGACTCAAAACCTTATTAACTGAACCAGACCTGGAACTCCATCGCGTGTCGGAGCCCCTCTCAAGCTCTAGCACTGGTTTATGTGGGCGGAGCTGTTTCTGTATTTCTATATTTCTATAAACTTTGCATGTCTATGTGACCCAGTCATTAAACTATGTAAGGAGTTCAAAATATCAAAAAAGGTTGCGACGCTGGGTGATGCCTTGGATGCTGCGCAAAGCACAAGATTGAGACGGTGCGAGTTACAGTGCACATAAACAGCGTGGGGGAACGTTTGCTTCAGAATTACTTGAACCCCACCTCTTTTGCCGGACATCACTGATGCTCCATCAAAACTAAATCCAACACATAATGCGGGATCAAGCTCTAGTGCCTCCAGTAGCCTATACTTGTAAAATCTTTTCTGATATTACATTTGCAGTCATGTCCCCTATCTCTACAAAACCCACAGCCCTCTCCTTCAACACTCCTTTGTGTAGGTATCGAACACAGACAGCCACCAGTTCTCTCTTGGAGAGGTCTTTACATTCATCTGCGAGCATAATATGTATCCGGCTGATCATGTAATTCACCTTTTATTTTCCGGATGAGTAGAGATGCAGCTATTTCCAACAACTCATTTTGTATGTCAGGGCTCATGAGTTTACCATTCTTCGGTAGTTCGTCCAGGCGCATTTTTATGTCGGGGTCAGAAGTACAAATTAATTTGAATAACTCCCAAAAAATTCCCCCTGTTCAATGCCTCCGCATTTTCGCGGTGCCCCCGCAAAGGTATTTCAATCATGAGAGACGTGATGTATGAAATACATGTTTAATACCGGACACGTGGTATAGAAAATTAAGATTGACAGATTACAACAATGAATCAACTGATGTTTGGAGATTAGGCCCCGGTTTGTAGGATATCATTCAGGAGGGGGAAAACCGCTCCGATGAACCCCCCGGGTCTAGACACTGGTGGTGGTGATAATGGTTCGGTCTGGTCTGGAGGAAGAAGGATTAGCTTGGCCCTGAATTAGGAGACAGGAGGCGAAGGGGTGGAGGCGGGTTGTGCGTTGACACCTGAAATGACAACTGACAGAGAGGGAAGAGCAGATTTAAAGGGTTTAGCAGGTGCAATGATTGCTAGCTGGGGAGTACCGCCCCTGATTACTTAATGGGAGAAGAGCTTGCAGTGACGTGTAACACCAGGGGGTATGGTCTTCCTTCTTGAACTTGCGCTAAGCTTCATTTCAATCATGAGAGACGTGATGTATGAAATACATGTTTAATACCGGACACGTGGTATAGAAAATTAAGATTGACAGATTACAACAATGAATCAACTGATGTTTGGAGATTAGGCCCCGGTTTGTAGGATATCATTCAGGAGGGGGAAAACCGCTCCGATGAACCCCCAAAGAGAAGAGAAGTAAGAAGTGCTGAGATGTGAAGCATTTCTTACCTTGCTGGCTGATTGAGGAGATCTGCAGATGAAATGAGATAACACAGGGACATGATGAGATTGTCGGAATAACTGTAGGGTTAATGTGAACGCCAACCATGCTTAGCGCCTGCATGTTGGATTAGACGATGCTGACCCACAGGCCGCAACCTGCACGCGCAGGGTTAAACATGACGCTGACCCACCGGCCGCAACCTGCACGCGCAGGGTTAAACATGACGCTGACCCGCTGGCCGCAACCTGTACACACAGGGTTAAACAAAAGCTGACCCATAGGCCGCAACCTGTACACACAGGGTTAAACAAAATGCTGACCCATAGGCCGCAACCTGCACACGCAGGGTTAAACGAAATGCTGACCCATAGGCCGCAACCTGCACACGCAGGGTTAAACAAAATGCTGACCCATAGGCCGCAACCTGCACACGCAGGGTTAAACAAATGCTGACCCATAGGCCGCAACCTGTACACACAGGGTTAAACATGACGCTGACCTACTCGCCCTGTACGTGCAGGGTTTAAACATAATGCGACCCACTGGCCGCAACCTGCGCGGCAGGATTCAATACGCGGACCCGAAGGTCGCAACGATGCGGTATGAAGTGTTTAAACGTGAACACGGTGACACGTAAATGTGCTGACTTGCTAAACCACCACCAGTTGTATATATAGTACCGTTAGTGTTTGAGGGACCTTTGGATGGCCAGCACGGCACTGATGTCCGGGCGAATGTAGGATGTGAAGGCAGAGGAGGACCACCGTCCGAGTTGTTGCAGGGATGAGGATGAGACTCCTTGAATGGCAGCAGATGTAGCTGCGCCTATCCTGAACGAATGCCCTGAGAATAATTGGGGTGCTAGTCCGGATTTAGAGATAATTTGTTTTAAATAGTAGTTGAACCGGTGTTTAGTTAAGGGAATATTCCCTGGGAGAAGAAATAGTGGTGAGAGAGGATTTGTGGAAGATCTCAAATGCAGGAATTTAATCATGGATTTATAGGGGCAGAAAGGAGAATCGTTGCGAGCAGCGCTAACGGAGCAAGCGCCTCCACATTTGGAGTGCTTAAGTTTTAGACTGAAATGGCTAGCATGGAAAGATAAGTCGGCAAAGCAGACGTCTTGATTGGGATCGAATGTTAGGGACGCTGTGCCGAATTCTCCTGGTCTGAGAAAAGCATAGAATGCTAACAGAAATAATGCATCGAGTAGTGCGTCGATGTAGGGAGAAAATACTCCTTCTCTGAGTTTGGAGAGCATAAGACGCAGGGTGGAGAGTGTAATGGGTCGCCTATGATCTGTAACTGTAGGAAACATTTTTTGCAGACCTTTCAAAATGAGTTTGACTGATTGGTTAGAAAACAGGCTGGGGAAGCTGGGATCGTAACAGCGAACATTAAACTGCACGCCAGCTAGGAGGCCTCGGATGTATTGAGGTTTGAGGTGGCGATCAGTGGCGCAGTAGCACGTGAAGGCACACACGGTGGATATGAGGACGGGTTTAAGTGCGATGTTTACAGTAAAGCAAAAGAAAGCGAAGGTTCTCCATGCGGAGTCATATTTTTTAAGGGTGGAGACGGCTAAGCCCTTTCTCATAAAGAACCTGGCGGACTCTAGGTGCCTGGCTAATGGGCTCTTATTTAAGAGAGGGAGAGAAGATGCAGGGGAGGGATCTCGATGGGCTGTGAGCTGGCTTCTGGGCAGAGATTCCGGAAGGTCTGGAAATGAAAGCGAGAGAGGGAGTCAGCCGCTGTATTGAGGTGACCGGGAACATGACGAGCTGAGATGAGAAAGTTATGGGTAATGGAAGACCATGTGATGCTTCTCATAAATGGCATAATGTCATTGCACGGGGAGCGAGCTTTGTTAATTATTCCCACTACTGCTTGGTTGTCGCAGAGCACCGAGATGCGCTTCCGTAGCCAGAGGTGACCCCACACATAACAGGCAACTGCCGTGCAGGGCGGAGGATGAGGCATGATTGGGGAATGTGGGAGGCCATGGGCCCGCAAACCACTCTCCCTGAAATAAACCCCCAAAACCCACGGATGGGGCGGCGTCCGTGAAGAACCTCATTGAGTCGGAAGAATACACTATGTCATCATAGAAGAAGGTGATGCCGTTCCAGTGGTCGAGCAGGAGGGACCAGAATCGTAGGTCAGAGCGGCAGCCTTCGTCTAGCACAACGCGGTCATGGAGGTTTTTAACGCCCGAAGCTGTGTCTAGAAGGCGAGATATGAATGAGCGCCCCTGGGGGATGACGCGCATGGCAAAGTTAAGGTGCCCGAGGAGAGAGAGCAGCTGTTGTTTAGTTATGGATTGTTGCCCGCAATATGACTTGGTAATATCACGTATGCGCTGCAATTTGTCGCTGGGGAGAGATGCTTTCATCTCTGCGGAATCGAGTGTGATGCCTAGAAACTCCAGGCGTGTGTCAGGTCCTAGGGTTTTCTCCGCGGATAGGGGAATGCCTAGCTTCTGAAAGCAGAGTTTGAGTTTTGCCAGGGAGGCGCCTGAGTTGTCCCGAGGGGGATCTACGAGGAGAAAATCGTCCAGCAAGTGGAGAACAGAAGGTATTCTGGCAATGTTCAGCAGGATCCAGCAGAGGGCTTCGGAAAGAGAATTAAAGATGCAGGGGCTACTTCTGCATCCGAAAGTCAGGCGGACGGCGAAGTAGAATTTGGATTCCCACCTGATGCCGAACATGTTCCACTGGGACGGATGAATGGGGATGATTTTGAACGCGTCAGTTATGTCTGCTTTGGAGAGCCAGGCTCCTTGCCCTGTGAGCTTTATTAATTTGATTGCGTCGTCAACCGAGGCATATTGAAGGGAAAATGGCTCTGAAGGGATGAGGCTGTTAATGCTGCAGAACGGGCCGGCGCGGGGTGCGGACAGATCGAAAATTAGCCTTTTCTTTTCGGAGTATTTGCGTGTGGCTACTCCTATTGGACTTGTCCGGAACACTGAGAACGGGGATGAGCGAAAAGGACCTATTAAGTATCCTTTATTACATTCTTTCTCAATGAGCTGAGAGACTATGATGGGTTCTTTATTTGCTGATTGTAGGTTTTTTGCAACGAAGGTTACGGGGGGAGGAGAGAGGACCCCGACCCTAAAGCCTTGGGAAAGCCCTGACAAAAGGTAATCGACGAACACTGGGTCTGGGTGGGTAGAGAGCGCGGCGGCTAGGTATGGAATGTTAATGGGAGTGGACGGGTGAATTTTTAGGAGGTTTTTCCACCACGTGGTTTCTGTTGCGGGAAGTTGATTCGGCGGCGCTTGGGGCAGACTGACTTCGGATGCGCATCCCCGCAGAAGCTGCAGATGTGGAGAAAAGTACAGAAGGGGTAAACGCAGACAGTCTCGTTAAAGCCATAACATATCCTGTCATTTCTCCTAGTCTGCACCTGGCGTTCTTGGCCATAACTCCCTGGATACGGCGTGGGAAAATCTCTGGCCCTGGAGAGAGGCACTGATGGGCAGAAAGTGGCAGTGTGGCCCTGCGTCCCGCAAGTAGAGCATGAGTGGACTTGTTGCCCGCCGGTAGCCATGACAAGCAGCTCAGTGTCCAGCACGGACCAATCCAGGCAGATGTTGCAGTGAGCTAGATGGCGCGCTGCTTTGCTAGAAAAGCTCTTGTGGTAATAATAGAAAATGGATTTCCCGTATTTGAGCTGGAGATCACCGATGATGCCCAGATATGCGTCGAACTCGGTTCTCCTTTCGGGGTAAACGGTACATAGGACATCTCGGAAGATGCCGAAAGCGACCAGGAACTGTCCTATGTTTAGATCTTTCAGAAGCCGGGGATCTGTGGACCTAAACACAGCAGTGAAGCTTCCTCCTGTGGCGATAGACTTGTCACATTCCGGGGAAGGCAAGATGAGGCTGACAAGATTAACGTCTTTCCCTTCGAGGATTTTCGCCCTCAGCCTGGAGGAAATATACGCGGCTTGGGGAATATTAGGCCTACCTGAAGGCGGCTCTGGAAATGCGGTAGCCAGGGTGTGAGAGGGGATTACCGCTTGATGATATGACTGGCCCTGCCCCGGGCCTAAGCCCCTGAGCAGGAGCGTCGCCCCAGTTTGCGGAAGAAGTTTACGCTCTAGCAGAGCCTTTATCCATGGCCTAAAGGTGAGCGTTAATTCCCCGCATGGAGCTTGCCAGGTTTTTCAGGGTGTTAGCGAGGCTGTCGTCCTGGTTACCGGGGCTCCCGAGCTGCCCCGCGCTTGGGGAAAGTTGGATGTTCTTTCTTTTTTTTCCTGGGCGAGCTTGTGGAGGGCTCCGCTTCCTCGTCCTTTTCCCTCCGCGGCTACGCCCGCGTCCTCGCCCCGGTCTCTCGGGAGAGTTGGCTGGAGAGTTGGCTGGAGCTGCTGCCCTGGGCTGGGAGGCCGCACCAGGGACTTGGTCCGAGAGTTCCTGAAGCTGGGAGAGAGGGAGGTCTGGGGCTGCGGAAATGCCCTGCCGCCGTAGGTGGGAGATGAGGAAATCCACCTCTGCTGTTCGGGATTCGCCACGGGAAGCCAGACGGGAGCTTGTGCGCCGTTGGCTTGAGGAGATGGAAGGTACGCCTGGAAGTATGTCGGAATCGGGATCGAGATCCCGCGGAAAATCTTCGTAGTCGGAGCCTTCTATAGTGGACATGTTGTTTTTTCTTTTTCTTTCTTTTTGTATCTTTCTGAGTGTTTGTTAGCGAGGTAGGAGTATAGGTACTACCAATTGTGCGTTGACACCTGAAATGACAACTGACAGAGAGGGAAGAGCAGATTTAAAGGGTTTAGCAGGTGCAATGATTGCTAGCTGGGGAGTACCGCCCCTGATTACTTAATGGGAGAAGAGCTTGCAGTGACGTGTAACACCAGGGGGTATGGTCTTCCTTCTTGAACTTGCGCTAAGCTTCATGTCTTGCTTGGCGCAAAATAAAACGAGGTCTATCACAACTTTTATGTGTTCTCGATTTCGTTCTATAAATGATCGACTAGCAGCATCCCTGTTAAGCTGGTTAATAATATTTCCCTTCCCTGACTGGTGGCATTGCTTATAGCCTTCTACTTTTGCCAATGCTGAAACATGTTGTTTGCTAGCCTCATGTTTTACACAAAACTGAGAAATATGCTTCCAGTCCTTAAATCCGTCTTTTACGAATCAATCTTCGCCTGTCACTTCAGGGAAATGGCGACATGCCTTACAAAACACTGCATCTCTGGATGTGCTGTATTCAATCCAATGAAATCGGTCATAGCACCGGGCGGAACAACTCCTACTTTTGCCTGACAATAAAGTGGTGGCTGGGAACACCTTGTGTTTGGGCTGTGTCGGGGGCTCATCTATACCTGACAAGTCTGATGGTGCTGCTAACTTTAAGTCTGAACTTCCACCTGAGGCTGAGGTCAATGCTGTAGGTTCTTTGAAACCAGGTGGAGTGGAGGCTGAGGTCGATGTTGTAGGTTCTTCGAGAGCAGCTGCAGTGGAGGAAGGGAGTGGAGGAGGATGAGTTGTGATAACGTTAGCCATCTCGAATGCTGACTCTGGTGCTTGCTGGGAAGAATCACTGTGAGCAGCGGCAGCTGCAGTCGGTGTCTGGATGGATTCGGAGGTAGATGCCTGTAGTTTAGCAGAATCCTCTGTGCGAACTCGTTTTAGAAATTTAAACAAACTAGTTTGTTTCGCCATTTTGCAATCAACTTGGTACTGTACAGTTGCGCTAGCTACTGGCTGAGAAAGAGCGCGAGAGCAGTCAGGAACGTCAAAATCGCTGTGACACGCTGATTGGCTGTGGGTGGGCCAGACATGCACCCACAGCTGCTGTGGCTGCTGCTGACTGTGTGACTGCTGCTGACTGTGCTTTAATGAATGAATTCATCTCAGTATTCCAGTTGGCAGCACATTTTGTACCTAGACGAACTCTCAGACTGATTATAGTACACACCACTTATGTAACTGGTAATTAAGATGATGCTGACGGCTCACCCTCCCCTGGATCACAGGTGTGTCTTAATATGTTATGTTACCCAGTTTGTTCACTCAGTAGCAGCTGATAATAACTATGCTCTTGTTTCAAACACAGAATGGATATTATATTCATTCTAAACATTTTGTAATGTCTCCTATTCAAATTGACTATGGTGGATTTATTGAATTATGTTGATTTTGCTTTTTGAATGTATTGTTCCAAAACGTACCCAGCACTGAAAAAAGCTGAAACCTTGACTTTAATTAAATGTATTGAAAAGCAGTAATATTAAGTTAAAATAAAAAAAATACTAGGTTCAACTTAATATTATTGCTTTCAACTAACCTAATACAGTTATGTCAAATTTGTTGACATAATAGATGTAATTAATGTCAACGTTGCAGTGTTATCAGTGTACCTAACATTACTGAAGTGAAATAAATGGCTTATTCTGTTGGATTATTAGACTGGAAAGAATTATTTGGAATTTCTTCAAAATATGGGTTCATGTAATTGTAAATATTCCTTTTTTTTGTCCCGCAACAGGGACATTTACATTATTACAACAGCAGAAGTATTCTATAAAAAACATTATGACCTACAGAAAAGCTGATAAGTCAAGAAAAGATGGGATGACGGCATTAGAGAGCAAAACACAAGGCACTGAGGATCTAGTGTTCTTTATCTTTATGTTGTTGAAAATAAAGTTGTTGACTTTATTTTCCTCTTGATAAAGTCAAGAGGAAAGACAAACAATTACAATATTTAAAATAACTAATTATGCACGCTTTATTAATAAAAAAATACACAATAAGTAAAACAATCAAATAAGTACACCATGTTAAAAAACAAGTAGCAGTATATATATATTTGTCTACCTGTGTTTGAAGTACATTTCCTCCCCTTATCAGAATCACAGCGTGCTCACTTGAACAGTGTTCATGTCGCTCTGATAAGCCAGTGTACTCACACACACAGAATGTCACTCTCAAACAATCGTTTCCATATCCAATTCACCTCAGTGCAAACAGTTTCCACCTGACAACTGAAACCCGTCTGCAGTGTCAGCAGCAGGGGGGGGGGGACCCGTGTTCACCGGCCCACATTTCAAACAGTGGCTCTCTAAAATAATTTCTTGTCAAAACACAAGGGTTTTGGAGAAGGAAACTGCCGGAAGTTCCACAAGTGTCTTCCCCTGCCAGAAGCTGTTTGTGGCAGATCTAAAACAGGCCTGTCACTACGGCAACAACGTTTACATGAGCAGAGAAAAAGGTGCTCTTTACACCATTTAGATCCTGAGGGGGGCTACATGTTGTCCTGGGCCTAAAGTCTGCCTGATGATCTTACTCTTATATTAACAAGAAAGTTTATCTGTGAAAATCCAAAAAGAGTGAAATAACAGAGGAGAATAACGGATTCATTTTGGTGTCATTTCTCATCTGAAATAAGTTTGACTATCTCCAACCATGATCCAAACTCTCTGTTTACATTTACCTGAGTCTTTCTTTCTGAACACATTTTTATTTCAAATTACATTAATTAAGCTGCTTTTATCCAAAGGGAATTCCATACATTCAAATAATGCAGAAAACACAAGCGAGGCAGGTATGAAAAACTAAAAGTGAGCTTAATTTAACTAAGGCTGATCAGATAAACTGAAAAAATACGACAGACCCTAACCAAGGTCATAAAAACCCAAGGAAAATAAAACAGCAGAACAAAACAAGGAACAAACCAAAAGACAGGGGGAACACAAGGAAAATCCAGTATCAGACAGGAAAGAAAAGGAAGCACTCAAACTTCTATCAAATAAATGATATTTCTGAGGGGCCGCTGTCTATAAGGAACTGACCTGAGAACTGACACAGAGACAATGTAACGTCTTGCTTGCTCTGAAAAAACTGAACCGTTGACTTTAATTAAAGGTAGGGTAGGTAAGAATGGAGAATGCTCGAGTGCGCTACAATTTGAAAATACACAACCGGAAAAAATCTGCCCCTTCCTTCAGACTTCCTTACAGAGCCCCTCCTCCAACACACATGAACGCACACATGACCAATGAGGGCACGAGATAAGTTTGTGCCCAGATGGAAGGCTGACAGGCAGGTAGGCCATCCAGTTACTTTAGCCGGGCCGGCTCAGATGATTGGTCGTGCTTTTTACAGCGCTACGGCTTCCACAGATGATATTTTTTATGGATTTATTGTCAAAGCACTTAAGATATTCATTGCTATCGGGATGTTAAGAGCATTCCATGGAATATAACAAAAAGTGTTTCTTATTTTAACTTGATATTATTGGTTTCAACTAACCTCATACAGTTATGTGAATACTGTAGACATAATACATTTAATTAAAGTTTCATTTTTTTTTGTGTGTGTTTAGTTTTCATTGCAATTGTAGTTTATTCTTACATGTATTATTAGCATCTTACCTAAACTAATATTTTTGGAAGTCAGCTGCTAAAGTGCTCCTGCTTTTAATTTTAAGGAGCCTCACTGCTGTATTAGATTTGTATGGTCACGCTTTGAGTTGCATAAAGCCAGGAAACAAATTGGCACGCTGCTCAGATTTGGGATCTGGCCATTAGAGATGCACAAAGTCTCACTTAAGTGTCTTCTAATCTAAATCTTAGGTTTGTTCTATCCACTGTGAGGCATGTGATGGAATGGTGTAACGGCTAACTTATAGATTCCTCTTTTCTATGAATGAAAAACATGTTGTCCCCATTCTGTATGTTCACATTTATACCATGGCCTGGTGTGTATCATCTATCCTACAGCTCAGATTGAACACACTCGACAGTTATCTTTGTCAACCCTCAAGAACTGGACGACTGCTTTGCATTAGTTTGACAAAAATAACCAAATTAACGTTTAAATTAATTTATAAATGCAAGCAATTGTTGGCAGGATAATACACTGTAGTTTACTTTCGGGAATAGTTGTGTGGTTTTGGTTTATTTCAAATAGATTAAGCAATCTGTCCAATAGAACTGATCCAGCATCATCTAAAACTTCAAAATCAACTCAAAGTGAACCAAAATCCGCCCACCAAGGAAAAGGGCCCTTTCCTGGTTTTAACTGCCATCTTTGATCCTGAAAGGATTAAGGTTGAGGGTGTCAATGGTCGGGACATAGGGGGCCAGAAGATTCTCAACATACACAATATC